GGGACTCGCCGAGTCCCTATGATCCATTTCCCGTACAGACCAAATCTGAGACAAGCAACGCTTCCAAACCATAGATCCACGTTCCTTGAGCATGCTTATCACGTAAAGTTGCAAACTTTATGTGCATGCATTGCCCTATAAACTCAAAAAGGCAAAACCAAGGTCTTAATGAGGTCATAAACTCAATGGGGACCTCAATCACTTCAAAAACAGAAACTTTATACTTCTAATATGCCCATAAGGTCCAAATATGGAGTCCTTTCAGAACATAGTGCATTAACACATGGAGCTTGAGGTTTTAGGGCTTTAAAACCACTAATTTGGGATAATAAGGGGATCTAATGAACTAGTGCTCAAGGTAAGAACTTTTCTACCTGAATGGAAGCTCCTCACAGTGTAGATTCCAGATCTATCTCCCTTCCTTGCACACTTCAACCTCTTCCTTCTTCTTCTAAGCTCCAAACCTTCTCCACAAAGCCAAACACACTCTCAAGAACAATATGGGGGCTAGGGTTTCGCTCTACAGCTCTGTGGAAGTGTTAGAGACAAAGGAGGCCAAGTTAGAGCGTTTAAATAGGGTGCAAACACACGGATTAGGGTTTTTGCCCAAACAGTGTCTACTCGCCGAGTCTGGGGACCGACTCACCGAGTCCGGGGACCGACTCACTGAGTCCAAAGTTCAATCCCCGCGCCTTATCCCACTCCTACTCGGCGAGTTGGCCCATCAACTCGCCGAGTCCAAGGCAAAAATGCATTATTTTAAAATGTAAATAGCAAGGAGTACATACCAGGAACCAGGTGCTACATTATTATCGCTAAGTTTTTAGTCTAATGTTTATTGCGACTAATTATTAGTATAGATTTATCATTAACTCAAAGTGTACTTTGATGATATATCAAGTAAGGAACAACCAGGTAGTATTATATCAGAGGTAGGGTTCGTTTGGTATACCAAGTATACTATTTGGAAATCACACTTTAAACATCTCACTAAATCACAACCTAGACATCATCCCCGTAAGTAGATCAATCAGTATAACAACTTAGAATCGCTGATAAATCTTTTTTATAGCTTCATAATAATGATAATGAACTTAAAAACAGTTATACTTAAAGAATGGTAAGCATAACTCACTTACAAGGGGGGTTTAGCGAGAAATCAGGCTTTGTGCAGGCATAACTTTTGAGCCAAAAGCTCTTCTTCTCGCAGCTTTCCGGCGCTCTGGGGCTTGCTACTAACACGTTAGAGATGTTAGGGAAAGGCTTAGAGGGTTTTGGGGTGTTTGGGAGAGAGCTGGATAGAAAGATGTTTAAAAAAGAGTGAAAAACGCCACTTATTTATGGTTGCTAACAACCCTGTACGCTGGGCGTTTTCAAGGGTAAACTGGGCATACATAGAGCTACGTTGGTCGTACTTATGCAACATGTCACAATCTTGTGCAAAACCATGGGGAAGAAGGTGTGGTCCCGATCTTGCCACATGTTACTCGCTGGTTAATCCCAAAAATTAATTATCTTCTAAAATCCGTAACTTTCGCATACGAGCTCCGTTTATGACGTTCTTTATCCACAAGTAGGAAACGACGTGATCTACAACTTTTGTTTAGACTAGATCGGATAATTTTGAATTTATTTTTAAAGTTATATTTTAATAGGCTTAAAAAGTTAGAGTCTGTTAAAAATTCATAACTTTGTCATCTAACGTCTGATTTCAACTGTCTTCATATCATTGAGCTCCTATTAACGAAGTATTCAATTCTCGTTTAGGACGTGTTGGCTAATAACGTAACATTTCAAAGATTTCAAAAAAATTTAAACTTTTCAAGACAACTCATTTATTTACAAAAGTGTTTGCAAAAACATGATCTCCAAAACATGATTTAAAATCGGAGTCTCCTAAGATCCATTTCGTTGTAAAACAAAGGATGTGTACGGTCACGCCTTCGCCTTTCCATAAATCATTTGAAGATCCTAAAACCATTAGCAAAACTGTAAACACGAAGCTTAGTGAGTTCCACCAAAGTACCAACACACAAACAAATAGCACATATACACGTACCGGGTCCACAGCTAAAAGACTAGATTACCCTTAAGCCCACATTATGAGTCTGGCTTTCCTATCGGGTCCATAGCTCATATTTGGCCCGCACTTTAGCCCATAATGTAAGTCTGGCTTGATGTATGGCCAACAACTTATGTATGGATAGGAAGTGACTTGGCGGATTCAAGGAGATCCTTGAGGAAAGTATGGATAGATGTGGAAGGTAGTATAGGCCTCTAGAAGCAGATGATCCGTACTCAAGTCAAGGAGGGCTACAAGGAAACCAAGGAGCTTGTAGAGTGTGAGACTCCTCGATATTATCTATGGCTGTTCTGATGGTTTATGTGGTCTATTTTCAGTATGGTGACACTTTGAGGCAGTCCGATTAGTGGTTCTAATGCTGGTGAGGGTTCAGGTTTGGGTTCTGGAGTCGAGCTATTGGACAATCAGATGCTGGAGTTCAGTTCATCTAAGATTACCCGCAACATACATGAGAATTCTCCTATAAACTTTGGTATGGTTAAGTAGGGTATTATGGATACTTTGGATGAGCATTTGAGCGCCTTTCGGTCTGAGACGGTGGCATTGAGTGGGGTATGTTCATTAAATTTTAGGGAGTTTTGGATATATAGTGATTCGGAGTACTTCGAGGGGAAGGACCCGATCGCGAGAAGGAGTTAGTTAGCAGATGTCACTAATTCCTTCCATACTACCAGTTGTTCTGATAGGGAAAAGGTCAAAATGTATTCCTGTCTTTTAAAAGACAGAGCCCGAGACAAATGGGAGGAGGTAGGACATGCCTTGGGAGGTGAGGTGATTGATTCAATGACATGGGTTGATTATGTGACTAGATTCAGAGATGAGTTTGTACCAGTGATCGAGGTGCAGCAGTTGGCGAGGGTGTTCCAGGATCTCTACTAGACTACTGAGATGGTGGTTGAGATCACCGCGTTGTTTCATGAGAGGGCACTATTGGTTCCACAGTATGTGGCAGACAAGGAGATGAAGAACGAAACATAGCATGAGATGCTGAGGAGTGATATTCAGTAGTTTGTGAGCCAATCTAGTTCCAAGACATTGGAGGACATGATTTCAAGGGATAAAGAGATAGAAATATATATATATATATATATATATATATATATATATATATATATATATATAGAGAGAGAGAGAGAGAGAGAGAGATTAATATAGAGATGGAGTAGAAGAGGAACCCGCATTATGCTCGAAGTTTAGGGAGTTCAGGCAAGACGCCCAATGTGTTTGATTCGAGATTAAGAGTTCGGAACCACTATGGGAAGTGCGGCAAGATGCACGATGGGGCGTGTAGGGTGGGTGGTTATGGTTGCTTCAAGTGCGGCCAAACGGCTCATATTAGTAGGGATTGCATTGCTAGTATTACCACCACCACCACAGTATCTTATCTGATTTGCTTCCATTGCAATCAGAAGGACTACAAGAAGCCCTATTGTTCGAGTTTAGCAGGAGTGGAACCAGTGGTATTACCAGCTCCAGCTATTCTACCGATCACTGATAGCCACTAGGGCAAGGCATATGCTCCTATGGTGAAGAGTAGGTATTTTCAGTTAATGGCTGAGGAGACTCGCGCAACACCAGATGTGGTGACGGGTACGTATCTTCTCCTTATCTCTTTGTTTATGTTGATTTATGTACTTATATTGTGTGTTTTATTTTAGGATCATTCCTTGTTAACGGTATCTCTGCATTGGTATTGTTTGATTTGGAGGATAACTGATCTTTTGTATCGCTTGCGCTTAGCAAGAGGTTTGCTGGAGCTCCATGGGAGCTAGATTGTCCATTGGAGGTTGAAATTGTAGATGATCGATCTATCAAGGTATCAAGGGTTCATCGGGGTTATGTTATCGAGATGTTCAGCGAGCTGTATCCGATTGATTTAGTTCCTATTCCTTTGCGTGGGAACAAGTTAGTGTAGGAATGGACTGGTTGAACCCCAATGGGCCGGTGATTGACTATGAGCATCAGTTGGTATGGATTCAGATCCCAAGTGGGGGAGAGTTAGTTGTTTAGGGAGAGAGAGCTTAGCATGGGCCGATTCTATGTTCAACAACTTGGTCCAGATGCTATCTACATCAGGGTTGTTCCAAATATCTCGCCTATGTTATGGATACCCGAGATAAGGATAAGGCGATTATGGGTAATGTGCCAGTTGTTCAGGAGTACCCAGATGTGTTTATGGAGGATTTGTATGGAGTGCATCCGGGGATGCAGATGGAGTTTAGGATTGACTTGGTTCCTGGTGCAGATCTGATAGCTAAAGCACCATATCTGTTAGCTCCTCCGGAGATGCAGGAGCAATTACACAAGGGGTTCACTTGACCAAGAAGTTCGCCATAGGGAGCATCAATCCTGTTTGTGAAGAAGACATATGAGTCTCATCGGATGTGTATTGACTACCGAGAGCTGAATAAGCTAACGGTGAAGATCCTTTATCCACTCCCAAGGATTAATGATTTATTTGACCAACTTCAGGGTGCATCTTGGTTTTCCAAGATTGATCTGCGTTCAGGTTATTCCCTAAACTCGGATCTATCAAAGTATCAATGCAATAGTTAGATTTAGTGCAGAATCTTAATCAAACAACGATACGAAACAATCAATAAGATATATTAAGAACACGTTTCAATGAATACACATAGTTCTATTGTAAAAATGTCAAGTACATTCAATAACACTTCCGCCATGAAACCCTAGTGTTCATGAAAAACTGCTATGATTATAACGGGTATACACATACTATATATAAACTAAACTGATAACCTAAAGCCCATAACCCCACCAAAAATACAATAAGCCGACCGAAAACACTAGGTGGTTTCGGTTCAAAACCGAGAACACATAATACATTTAAAGCAAAGCATAAACCACTAAATATAGCCTAACAATCTCCCCCTTGGTTTATTGCTTTCTGTTTTCTTCAAGGTTTTTCTATGAGATGCACGTTTTCTTGATCAAATTCCCTTACCCATAGCTTCTTGTCGATAATAGTAGCTACCATTCCAGTGAATGCTTTTACGACAGCTTCAAAAAGTTCATTCTCTATGAAAATCTGAAAGTTTGATAAAATGTGGATATCACGTTCTCCAAACTTCAACAAATCTTTACGACCAACAATACGAAATTGGTTTTTCTTCAGCGAAGCACTAGGCTCATCATAAACCCAAAATTCTATTGTATCCAAAGTACCTTTAGGTAAATGTTTGGGAAGAGGAATCCTTTTATCTTGCTTTCTGGCCCACGTGACAATTACCAATGTTTTGTTTGTGCAAGGATCAATGAAACCCTTGGCCTTCTTAGTAAACGATGAAGCAGTCTTTAAATCTTTAAAGTTATTTTTCGCTTTAATCTCAAGAAAATTCTTAAAAGACCATGCTATGGTATCATTGGTTGGATTGTGGAAAGGTAAATGGATAAGTTCTAAAAGATCAACTTTTGTCCAGGACAAAAAGTCGACTTTATTATTATAAAATGCAATTTGCCCGCTTTTTTGCATCACGGTCCACATTTTCTTTTCACCATCATATCCCCACATCATGATACCAGAATGATCACCATATTTGACTATGAACTTCTTCCTAGTTTCCCTAATAAACATTTCAGGATGATCACCCGGAGCATTTTGATCTGAAGTCTTCATCACGAGCATTTTCCCTTTCAACTGCTCAACCCTAATTTGCTTCTCTCTTCTTTCTTGAGCAGAAATAGGACCAGAAGATAAGAATGAATAAAGGGTAGCATCTAGAGCAGGTCTTACAGATCTTTCCCTTGAAGACTGTGAAGTTGGATTGGCGGGACCTAAACTAGAAGCAGTGATCTTTTCTCCTTCAGTGCTAAAAGGTTGAAATTCATCACCAAACTTTTGATATAGGCACTGTTTTAGGTCAAAGAATAGAGCAGTTAGACCACCAAGATTCACTTGCAGCTCTAATATCTTTGAATCGTTATCGGAGTTATCTTTCTCAAGCTCGCTGATTCAAATATCCTGCTTTCTAATTATCAAATCCTTTTCAGCAGAGTTTTGTTGCAGATCAAAGACTTTATTCTGAAGCAAAATGACATCAAGTAATTCAGATTCAGGCAACTCTCTTTTGCCTTTGGAAATGTCCAACTCGGGGGTTTTAAAAGATTTTCCTGAAGCTTGAGATCCTTCTGAAGATAAGACTTCTTCTTCAACGATAGGGCTTTGATAATCCTGATCCGTATGAGTGGACTTAGGTAACCGGCTTGATATATCTTGAATCACTGGATAGGACTCAGTGAATTTGATTTATAGGTTTTGAGCCATAGAACCAGGCTTAATCGGAGTATAATTCTTTTGAATTGGGTCTGTGATTAACACTCCCGACCTTCGATCTCTTCTTTTTTGCTTCCATAGGAGTAAAGTGTAGGCTGAGTCATCTGGATCACTTTCAGATGGAGGTTCAGTTATTACAGGAACTGTTTGGGGAGGCTTCCTTGTAGTTTGTTGAAGTTCTTCTATGAGAGCATCCATCTTTTCAGGTGCCAGTATGGAATATTGCATCGTTATGTCACTTTCCCACTCAGTCGCAATCGGTGGTGTGACAGCCGCATCCTTCTCTGGGTATGAGATACTTTGCTGAATAAATTATTCAAACTCATTATCTGTCAATTCCTTTTCTTGATCCTCTTGATCTTCTTCATCATCAAATACATCAATCTTTTCAAAGGAGAATTGAAACTTTGGGTTGGGTGCCACATGTTCGTCGGCAACCTCAAAATTTATTGAACTAACAGCAAGAGTGTCTTCAATCTCAACAACTTTCCAAATTTAACTAACTACTTTGATCCTTGATAAGCAACTTTGGTAGACTTTATCCATTGCTTCATGAGTCCAAAAGTTTTTGGACCAAAAGCTTTCATATCCAATGTATCAGACGTCTTCTCAATTTGGGGATATTTTTAATTAAAGATCATTTGAAGGAACCTGGGGTACATAAAAAATAGGTCCTTTTTCTTCCCCATGAGATTGCTCTTCATTTCTTCGAAGATGAACTTTGAAAAGTTGTAATAACAGTCCATAGCTAGAACAACAATCTCTGAGTTCATAGTCTGACTAATTTCATCATAGTGGGAGAAGCAATCTCCAGTAGGGTGGAAATAGCTTCTTCATAGTGGGAGGATAGGTTCCTTTATAACACATTTTCTCCAGAACTTCCTTGACACGATCAACAGAGTACTCAATTGGGAATGCCGATGCATCACCAAATTCAAGTACTTCTTGAATGATTTTTTCAGAGATAATCACTTGTGTTCCTTTCACCATAGATTACATAGTACCAGCTCCATTTGCTCCTAGCTTGTTGATTGAAGCATTTATTTAGAAATTAGTGATCAGGTCTCTGTGTATGATTGGATTCGCACGAAGGGCTTGATAGATCCTATAGTTGTTCAAACCCACCATCATGGATTTGAATTCTTGATGAGCAACAGGAGGATAAATGAGATATCCAGCAAAGTTGTGAGAGTCTACGAATTTAATTTTCTCTGTCATTTATCTGCACCAAACTAGCCAAGTGAGAATTAATTTAAAAAATCAATTAATTTGAGTTTGAAATCCGATTTCGGTCAAAAACAAGGTCAAAATCAAAATTCCAGTCGATTTTGATCAAGGATGATTAACTTCGGTCAAAGATGATCAATTTTGGTCAAAGCTGATCGATTTCGGTCAAAAACACTTGTTGACTAGACGATTTTAGTCAATGTAGGTTGATTTTGGCCAAGAAATTAGATTTCGGTCAGATCTTCATCTGATTTCTGTCGAATCCGAGTTGAACCGAAAACCCAAAATCTCATCGGAAACTGTTCCAACTCAGTTCTTCAAAAATCTTGAAAACTCCACTCGAAAACCTGCAAATATATGAAACCGAGTACACCAAAGACAACTTAAATGTCATTACCATGATCGAAAACACAAAAATACCTAATTCACCGAACAATTTGCAACAAAAACAACAACTAAGTATATAGCAG